GCTGCCGCAGCAGCGCTACCATTACCAGCAGGACAAGGGATGCAGGGTGATGATTTTGTGGTGGAGATGGAGGCAGCACGGCCATACGTGTGTCGAGAGTACTCTTTGGCAGAGATGTCTAAGGCCACAGGAGATTGGGCAGAGGGGAACAGGATAGGAAGTGGTAGCTTTGGGGATGTTTACAAGGGTGTGTCACCCCACGATTGCAATCAAGCCTGGGCAGTCAAGCGAGCTCGAGTGCTCACGAACGACTTCCAAAGAGAGGTACCATGGTTTGAGTTTTTGTTGATATGTTAGTGGCACGTTTCTCATTAGTTTCTTCTGCCAACCCCAAGCATAGCTGGTGGTCTGATTATTCAATCTCCTTTGATATGTTTACTGTTTTCCCTCTCAGGTGAAAGAGATGGCAAGCAAGCACCATCCGCATCTTGTGCGTCTGTTGGGCTATTGCATCGACTTCGACCTCTCCACACGACTCATGGAGCAGATCCTCGTTTACGAGTTCATGCCCAACCACGACCTTGAGAGCTGGATTGGTTCTGGTGTCTCCCATCCTCTTTCGCTTCGTCAAAGGCTTGACGTTCTGATTGGAGTGGCAAAGGGGTTGCAGTATCTTCATGACTTCGGCATTGTGCATCGCGACATCAAACCTGCCAACATTCTCCTTGATGCAAAGATGCAGGCATGTCAATATTGTGGTAGGCCTTGCTGTACATGGTCAAAGATGCCTACTCGTATCCATCCCTTAGCAACTATCATGTGGTGTTTTGCATCGCCTCGCATGCTCTGAATCTTTCACATCAATGCTCTTGTCGTCCATGGGCAGGCCAAGATTGCAGACTTTGGGCTTGTGAAGCTTGGTGGGGGCACTGCTATGGGCACGTCTGTGGCTGCCACTCGAGTGATGGGAACACCGGGCTATGTGGACCCTGCGTATTTCAAGTCTCATAAGGCCACTCCAGCAGCAGATGTGCACAGGTGAGCAGATTGGCACAGGTGAGCAGATTGGCAGCTGCTGAAATTTGCCCGCGACGAACACGAACAGTGTTCGAGGTTCGCCCGAACATGCCTGCACAGGCGAACAGCGAACACCTGTTTTTTCCTAAACTGTTCGCCGAACCGAACAGTGTTCGGTTCGGCAAAAGAGGGTGTTCGACAAGGGGCGAAGACGAACATGTTCGGGTTTGCCCTTTGCTCATCCCTAGAGCAGATTGGCACAGGTGAGCAGAGTAGGTTATGCTAGCAAATCCATGCAAGTTATAATGGCATGAGAAAACAGTGAAGGTTAGCAGATGAGCACTTTGGCATGAGAATACTGTTCAAGGAGGCTTCCAAATTTGATGAGAAATGCTCATGAGTTTCATTTCTTCTAGGGAAGATAGGGTTTGGGTTTCGGGCTTGCAGTGATTTCTATGTTTCCTTTGCCCCACACCCAAAGAAGGTCCATGCCTGACATTGAAGCCATTTCCAGGCGTCCTTACCAATCAAGTAGCTTGGTGATGCTTGGTGATGGGGCTTGCGTAACGATCACTTGTGGAATGATTGGGAAACAAATCCCATTGTGACCATAAAGCTTTTGTACATCTGAGCGCAATTTCAAGTATGATGCATTTGTTTATTGATGGGTTGCAGTTTTGGCGTGGTGACGCTGGTGGTTATCACGGCGCGCAAGGCTGTGCATGTAACAGAGGAAAACCAGATCAATCTCAAACAATGGGTGAGAGACAGAAGTGTATCATGCCAAGGATGGCAGATCTTGTAACACAACGTATGAGAAAGCCAGCTGCACTGCGTAGTGAGTTTGCTTGATAATATCAATGTTTCCTTGTTGCCCTTAGCCAAACATATGTAGGCCAATTCATGTTCTCCTTACCTCCATTCCCAACAGGATACATGCTGCAATGATTAAGACGAGCACTTACCTTTGAATCACACCTTGTATCTATAATAGGATTCACCTTCCTATTATCCTGCTTTCTATGTAGCACTAATTTCCTATGATCATACATCATTCCATCAATCTCTGCGTTGCCACATTTCTACCATTCTTCACAGGTTTTATTTTAATGTGAAACTCTGTGAACATTTTGTATCACCAAATTCCATGTGATGTATGCATTTAAACTCGCAGGTGGCCCCGTTGGTGGACTCCGGTGCTGTATTGGCATTCAAGGACCCTCACTTGGACGCACCAGATGACTTGGTGCTGCGCTGGGCTCGCCTTGCCCTCTCCTGCACCGCCATGCCTACAGCCTCCCGCCCCTCCATGAATCAAGTGCTTTGGGAGCTGGTGAAGTTGAAGCAGGAGGCGTCCGGAGCACATGAGTGTCATGTGGGCGAGGCCAAATCTCGCATTGACATGGAGCTTGGGAGCTCCATTGGCTCCTCCAGCTTCACTGCTGAAATGGCCCGTGCGGAGCGCGAGGGGGGCATGCCAAGTGGCTCCTCCACGTAATCAAGTTTGTTCTCACATGCAGCTTACTGGTTTACCTTGTGCTTCTGATGCCAATTGTTTGCTTCATATGAAAACATGGTATGGGACACTTAGGAACACTAACAAAGGCTGTGGAAGGGATACTGGTAGCATCTTTTGATGAGCACAAAAATGGGACAGGAAAATTGGGCTGTGTAGTACACTGTAGCTTCGGCTTGTCCATGGGCCAGATTTTATGCTTGTCACCTTCTTCCTGAAACTTTTAGCTGTTGCATGCATGATTTTCTGGATTGTGAATTAGATTCACGTATAGGGTTGTTTTGGGGATTTTAGACAGAATATCGCTCTTCAAACATGAAGCTTGAAAAGCTAAACATTCCTCTGTATATCCCCTATCCCTCTCCCCACTCACATGCCGCCTCTCCTCTCACACCAGCACTCATTTCATACCCACCACTCCTCTCATACCCACCACTCCTCTCATACCCACCACTTCTCTCACACCCCCCTATCCACTCTTACCCCCCACCCATACCATTCCCCAACCCCAACTCCTACCGTCATCGCCCGGATAGTAGACATATATGTCTTATCTAGGGATGAGCAAAGGGCGAAGTGTTCGAGTTCGCTCGAACATCAACATTTACCGAACCGAACATGGTTCGGTTCGGCGAACAATTTAGGGTTCAGGAGGTGTTCGCCGTTCGCCCTTGGGGGCGAACATTTGGTATGTGTGGGCGAACTCGAACATGTTCGAACCTAACATGTTCGAGTTAGCCTGTGGGCACTTTCATTATAATCACATTGGTCAAACAAGGAATCTGGAGGGTTGGGAAGATAGATAGGGGGGTGGAGGGTGTATATGTGTTCATGCAACGCACACTAGCATACGACACCATCATGTTTTGCCTATATAAAAGTCACTGTCAAATTAAATCCTACGCCTGCACACCACTGCTACTACCAACAACAGCATGCTCCGCGTCAGAGGTGTCGTCAGCACCCACCCCCACCTGCTCCTCCTCCCCCTCCTCCTCCTCCCACTCGTCGTCCTCCTCCTCCCCCTCGCCTTCAATGGCGAACTCTGGTGGTGCCTCGCCTTTTGCACGGCTGCCCTCGCCTATCCTCTGTCCAGGGTGTGAGGTGTACCATGATCTGAGAATCATGGAAGCTCGCGTCCTCTGAGAGGCTAGGCGGTGCCGCTTCCAGGAAATGAGGTTGCGGCCGAGGGAGAACACGCGCTCGCTCGACGCGGACGTGGCAGGGATGGCAAGATAATCCCGGGCCATGCGCCTCAGCGTCTGCATGTTGGTGGCGCTGCGCCAATACTCCAACGCTGACACGTCGCACCGCACCCTCTCAGATAAGTACTTGCCAACCTCGTCATCCTGCACCATCCCACCCCTCCCCGCCTCCTGGCTCACCGACAAACGCGCCGCAAGGTGTCGGCGACTAGGGAGAAACTCGGCGTCTTCGTCGTCATCCGTCGCGTCTCCCTCCTCCTCCTCCGTCACTGGGGCAAGTGGGGTTGGCCGAGGGGCAATCGCTGCAGCCCGGGCCTGGTACTCGGCCACGCGTTCGCGAACCAGCTGGATCACCTCGCCTGAAGAGGGACAAGGCCTCGCCCTCCGGTCGGTATCGGGATGCAGCGTCTCCCAGTGCGCGTCGTCGAACCACGCCGCCTTCATGGAAGGGTCCAGGAAGGTGGCGATCCACAACTCGTTGCTTGACATCAGTTCATACTTCTTCAAGAGACCCAGCGCCGCCTCAATCATCGGCTTCAGCGTAGCCGACGGCCCCTTGGCAAGGCGCGACTCCATAGCGTCGATCGGGCCGTTGTAGTACGGCAGGACCATCGCCACTCTAGGGTACGCCGCTCCCTCCGCGGCCATGGAGACTTTGGCGAATAGGCTGAGAAAGGTCTTGACAGAATGCAGAGTCTCCGAGTCTGCGTCCGTTAGGCGCAAGGTGTCCATCTTTGCCTTGTCAGCCTTTGACACGCCCTGTCGGGTAGAACGTATGGGTGGGCGGGTGTTAGGGTGGAAAGTGGGGTGGTTGAGGTTGTTGGACGTCCGAAAAGTTTAGTCAAGCATGGCCAACAGTGGTGCAAGTCCCAGAAGAAAACACCCCGACCGGCATACCAACACATAAAACCACATACACAACACGTGGCACACACACACACACCTGTGTCTGGGCAAAGAAGACAGAGATGGGTTCCTGCAGAACCCCGGCTCGCTCGACCATGTCGTGGGTCGACCCCCAGCGTGTGGGACTGTTCTGCACCAGCTTCAATGCCGGCTTCGGTTTGGCGGGGTTGCCCTGCGCGTTCAGGGTCCGCTGAAGGCCCAAGAACTTCCCTGAGCGCTGCGGCGAGAAGCCTATCCACGAGGCCATCTCTCTCAAAATCTTCAGCAACTTGCGGATGGCGGTCACAGCGAGTGCTGTCTTCACTGCAAGGTTGATCACGTGTGCCAGGCATCTGCGCACATCACAAAACATTCATGGCGAAGAGAAAGGGAAGTGTGAGTACACATTGGCATAGATCCGAGAAACACTACCACTCTCAAGCCGCATAGGCCCACCTGCCTGTACTACAACCACAAAATGTTCACATCACAGGAACGACGCACCCAGACTCCCTCATCGCACATCCCACGCACACTCCCTTTCGTACCGGAAGTGCATGCGTGAGTTGAAGAAGCACTGGCCACCACCCTCCTCCGACATCCACCTGAAAGCGGCAGTGTTGCTGGAGGCGTTGTCTGAGGTGAACCCAAAACAACGCGTCTCCAACCCCCACTGCACCACAGTCTCCTCAACCACCCTCGCCATCTGCTTGCCCGTGTGACGCCCGTGAATCTCGCGGAATTCAAACACCATTGTGCGCAGCTGGTAATTCTCGTCGATCCAGTGACCCGTTACCACTAGCCACGCCCTGTTGTTGTGCGACCTCCACATGTCGATGGTGAACGACACCCTGCACCCCAGCTCCCCCTCCTTCGCCAGCATCTCCGCAATGGCTGACTGAAGAGCGGCAGCCGCATAGACCACTGTATCGCGGGAAACCGTCCAGCGCGAGGGGATGAAGTTCTTCTGCGCGCAGTTGCGGTTTAGCAGGATGAGTAGCTCACGAAACTGGAGAGGGGTAGAGACAAGGGGGGAGAGAGGAGAAAACGTCAGGGGGATGGGATGAAAATAATATAGCACTGGGCCACACGCAAACAGTCAAAACACAAAGGGACAGACCCGTCCACTAACCACATGCTTGCCCAATCATGCATGGGATGGGATGGGGCACTTACGGCCTTGGCCTCGACGATGCGGAAGGGGAGGTCGCAGGTGACTACTCGCTTCGTGATCTCCTGCGGTAGCTGCACCGAGGTCAGTTTGGTTGTCATCCACCGCTCCATCCCGCCTGACCCATGACCTCCACCAGTCGCCATCCCTTTCCCCTTAGCGAGCTGCGGCCAAGTCTTGGCATGTGGCCACTGATAGACGTAGCCATCCGGCACTCCCTTGTAGCCCCCACGTGGAAACGTCTCCCCTGGCAAGTGAACGGACGGGGTGTGGTAACAGTGATGCCACACATGCATGTGCGCAGTGTGGAAGCTCGCAAAGTGCCGCTCGCCGGAGGTTGTTGTGGATTTCTTCCACGAAATCCTGTCTGTGCAAATCTTGCACTGACGCTTATCGTCTGCCCCTAACGGTCCGAATATCATTACTTGCCACCCCGGCTTCCTATTACCCTTGCCAGTCCCCTTACTACTCTCAGACCCTCCGTCCTCGTCCAGGAACTCGGGAGCGATCACACCCTCGCCCAAGGGCTCCCCAGTGAACGTGCAAGGATACGCCCGCTCCCTCAACTTGTTGGCCTTCTTCCTCTGCCTCGGCTCCCTAACGGTCACGGCCTTTCTCCCCCCCACCTTAACCCCCACGCTCCCTCCCCCTTCACGCACATGCTGCAATCCCGCCTCTGTCGCCGCCCTTCCACCACCCTCTCCCACCTCCTCCTCCCGCCCCTCTGGCTCCAACCCATCCATCTTGTGGTCTTCATCATCATCATCATCTCCCCCCTCTCCACCGCCATGCGTCTCTGGGTCCCACGCCGCCTCGCTGTCATCCCCGCTCCCCTCTGTGTCCTCCTCCTTCTTGCCCTCACCATCCTCCTCCTCATCCTCCTCCTCACTGCCGCTCTCCGGCTGCGTCGGCGTCTGCCCCGAAGGAGGGGGTCGAGGGCCGTCGTAACGGAAAGAGCGACGAGAGGTCGGCGCCGGTACGGTAAGCAACCCCCCAACGAAGATCGCGCCGGCTCCTCCCGGTCCATCCCCTACTCGCCCCTGCATAGGTCGTGGTGGAGATCCCGGTGCGCTGCCCTGAGCCCTGCCTGCACCTCGGCCTATGGATACTCCAGCCCTGGAAGCCATAACTCCGCCCTCGACCCTAAACCCTAAAACACCTTTCCTGCAACGTTAGCGTTGGATGGTGCCGCACGTTCCCAATGCCCGATCTGAATCCTACGGCGTAGGATACGCCCTACTTGAGCCCTTTGCGGAGATGCTCGCTGAACCTTAATAGTAACCCTAAACTCCCTACACTACGTTAAACCCTATGCATAGATCTATCTATCTAATGTCCGTTTACACTACAAGTATTAGCGTGCACTTGCTTGCACCTAGAACAAGGAGGCTAGGGCGGCTGTGTGAGGGAGCGCTAAGGCGAAAACGACTTCTGAGTTTGAGCTGACGAAATGAGCGCAAACACAAATTGGCCGCGACCTAAATATGGTCGCGGCCAATTTTGACGCGAACATTTTTGGTGTTCGCGTGGCCCCCAAGTCGAACACGAACATGTTCGTGTTGGGCTTGGAGAGCCGAAATCCTGGGGCGAACGTCGAACATGTTCGGCCGAACACCGAACATGTTTCGGCCCGAACCATTTAGGCAAAAAAAAAATGCCTGTTCGGTTCGCCTCGAACATGTTCGAGGCGAACCGAACAGGCGTTCGGGATTTTGCTCATCCCTAGTCTTATCTCGTACATGGGCAAAAATGCTGGGGCTGTCTTGTATTTGGGACGATTTAGGGTGTCTTATTACTCTTATAAATGGAGAAAGAACTGTTTAGAAGATACCCCCTCGCTATAAGATTGCCCCTAACCTCTACACTGGCTTAACGCGTACACACAAATAGGTGTCTTATAATGAGGCGAGCTTGTCTATAAAAGACACCCGGATAATAGACAACCCCTGTCTACTATTCAACACTGTCTACTTACCGGGCAATGACGGTATTATACTCCCCACTCCTCTCATAAACTCCCTCCTTTCGTAAACCCCACTTCTGTCATGCCTCTATATTCCTCTCATGCCCCTAAACTCCTACCATACCCCCTCTGTTACTCCTCACTCCTCTTATACCCCCCACTCCTCTCATACCAGCCTCCTCTTGAATCCCCCACTCCTCACAAATCCCCTCTTTTCATAACCTTCACTCCTTTCAAACCTCCACTCCTCTGATAAACCCGGTTCCTCTCATACCCCTCACTCCTCTCATACCCACCATACCTCTATGCCCCCCATTCCTCTCATACACCCCACTCACCTCATAACCACCATGATTCTATTACCAGCCATGCCTCTCATACCCCCCTCTCCACCCATCTCCCCACTCCTCCCATACCCCCAATTCCTCTCATGTCCCCAACTCCGTTTACACACCCCAATTATGTCATAGACCCCACTCCTCTCATACCCCCCACTCTTCCCAATCATTTTATTCCAAGTAGTCGCTGTTTCTCATGGTCTTGGTTTCTATGCATGCGCTCCTGCATTGAGCCTTTGGACTCCTGCACCATTGTCTCGTCCACTCCCTCCATGCACGATGGATATTTTGGATTAGAAGAACCTGTGCAAGAGCAAGATGCTTGCGCTAGACTTCTAGTGCTGTTTTGAAATTATAAAGCCTGTTCATAAAAAGTGCTACCGTACCGACCATAAGCTTGATAGATATTTGTGAATTGTGCATAGAAAAATGGTGTCTTCGATTAGATCTCCTAGCCTGATTTGTCACTGACTGTGCTCACACGCGTGACATCTTCCAAGCTAACCAATTTGTAACATTTCTGATTAATTACTCTCTATTCTAGATGAAAACACATCATTCAAACAAGGCACTGCAGATGGTTGTGAACCATCTTAATTTGGAACAGTGCAAGTTACTGTGTTGTGGAATGGATGGAGCATGCACAGTCCAAGGTTAATGAAATCTTTACTGATACAATTTGTAGTTTGAACCATAATGTATCCTTGCAGCATGACTACAAACTCAGCCTTCAACCGCCAAGAAATCATGAACGTACGTTTATCATGGCAGGAAAAAAGGTAGGGAGGTGAGGAATCTGAATGCTAAGAAGTAGGGCACACTTTCTAATAATGTACCTAACCTCTCATGAGAGCCAGTTCAGCATCGAGAGTCCCCTGCTCATTGTTCTGGGTGCCAATCTTGGCCTTGTGGCTGCTAAATATGGCTTGTTGGGGCTAAAGTGCCAATGGTACGTAGGTCAGTTGGTTGCTGACGGTAGGGTGGGGGAGGACAAAGGGTAGTGTGGGAGATTGTGGGTATCTCGTGTTTGTGGAAGGCATGGCCCTGCATCATACCTGCACCCACGACTGGCCTCAGACTGACATGAGGCTGACATGAGACTGACCAGAAACTGACCAAAAGACTGACCCGTGTTTGACCTTAGACTGACCTGAATTTGACCTAAGACCAACCTGAAACTGATACGAGACTGACCTTAAATTTACCTGAAATTGACCTGAGTTTGACCTGAGAGTGACCTGAGAGTGACCTGAGAGTGGCCTGAAAGTGATATGAAACTCTCATTATGAGAGTTTCTAGGGCGATCTGAGTGTGACCTGAAAGTGACCTACGACTGACACAAAACCTTCTCCCCCCATGTACTTGACTGGCGAAGCTAAAGAAGGCATTGAACACAAAGGGCGAGCTACACGGGCCAGGGTTTTCGATCAAAAGGAAGAGGCAGATGGGCGCTGCACTGTGCTGCTCCTGACGTGTTGCTGGTGGGGGGCGTGAGGATGATGGTGCCATTGAATGGTTGCGCTGCTGCACCTGCCAGGGAGACTGCTGTTGTCTGTGATGATTTGGTTGAAGGGAGAATTGCAGGGTTATCCAGAGCGAGGCAAGGCAGATGGGTGCAAACGGAACGGAAGAAATATGCTTGGATGTAAATAAATCAACACCAGGAGTTCGAGAGGCTTCAATTGCGATGCAGCTGTAATGGTAACAATTACAAGGAATGAGCAGGGTATGCAACGCAATCAAAGGGCACAACAAGAGAGTGCCATCTGCTTCTTACGCCAGATCACTCAGTCTCTCCCAAAACTTGTGTATACACACCACTGTAGGAGCACAAGGGCAGTCCAGCCTGGTTGTCAAAGTTGCTATCGCAGGTGTATACTGATTCCTGCACAGACTCACTGAAGGAGCACATGCCATGCCCGCTGCACAGGGGTTGGCAATCCCCAGCAGAAACCCCACAGAACGCACCACACTCCTCTGCACTCCTCTGCTCCAAGTAGTCTCCAGGCGCCCGGGATGCGTTGAGCAGACAATGCTCAAAGGCGTTGCCAAGGTAGGTGTGGTTGGCCTCGGGCGGGATGATGGTCCCGTGGAAGAAGAAGTTGCGGTGGGTGTAGGGTAGGTAGGGCGGGAACTGGTTGGCTGCAGGTAGGGCGACAGGGGCATGGCAGTCACCCTGTCATTGGTTGGCTGACATGTCACTGTAAAAAAGGGGGGGCGAGGGCAGGGAGAGCCAAGGCGAGGAGTGGGTGGGAAAATGGCGCATGAGCGGGGGTGTGACAAGAGTGGGTGAGAAGTGAACACGCACAGGGTGGTGCAGAGGAAAGATGCAGTGTTCTGTTGGAAGAATGTGTTTGATGCTGGTCAGCAATTACCAGCGCGCAAGCAGATGAGCCTTGAACATACAGATAAACCATCGGACCAAAGGAAGGGGCTTGGTGTAAACCATCGGACCAAAGGAAGGGGCTTGGTGTAAACCATCGGACCAAAGGAAGGGGCTTGGTGTAAACCATCGGACCAAAGGAAGGGGCTTGGTGTAAACCATCGGACCAAAGGAAGGGGCTTGGTGTAAACCATCGGACCAAAGGAAGGGGCTTGGTGTAAACCATCGGACCAAAGGAAGGGGCTTGGTGTAAACCATCGGACCAAAGGAAGGGGCTTGGTGTAAACCATCGGACCAAAGGAAGGGGCTTGGTGTAACAAGCATTTTCAGTCCTATCTGTAGTCCTCCTTCCCAATCCAATGCTCTCTTAGAATGGGCTCTTTCAGGACCCCCTCAACACACCAAGGCAAGTAACAAATGGCACATGGCCCATTGGCACATGGGACCTGGGACATGGTGGCAAATAGCACATGGTGCATTCCATATGCGATTCCCCCCATGCACGTGCAGCGTGACAAGGCTGGTCATATTGCGTGTGATGCCGTACACATCGCCAGAGAGGACGTTCCTGTTCAGGTAGCTGGAAGAAAGCACATCCGAAGACAACTCGTGAACGCGGCGTGCATGGCATGGCAGCACTTGGACTCCCATCTAGCAGGGTTGAGTGCGCTTCCTAAGGCCCTCAGCGGAGGTAGCATGGAGTGCTGTTGTTGCATGCAGTTGCGTTGCATACAAGCATGATTTCAACTACATGTCAAGGTTGGTAACTTGGATAAGTGTGATTGGACCAGACGCCAAGGGACACTGGATACAACAGCAAGCAGCCAGAGTGCACACACAAAAAGCCCAAGTTCTGAAGGAGAATGATCTGGGGACCGTGCCCCTGAGCCCCACACCCTCCAGCTACCTGACCCCACAGCGTGGAAGACGTCGTGTGCACACGAAATACATCACAGACTATGATGATGGAACGATAAGGGAGTCCTTGAGTGAACAAGAGAGAGCGCATTCTATTGCAGTCTGCATATATGTCTTTAACACGCAATGTCTCAGTACCTTTCTGATGACTCTTGTCCTCAAAGCTACTGACATAGACTGATGCAAAGCCAAGGAGACTCAGAATCATACGTGCACAGGAGGTTGCACCAACAACACACCAGGCAAGCAAGGTAAACACCAAGAGAGAAGCTACAGGGATGGGTTATGGTTGGCGAGATGTCAAGGTGACTCAGGGTTCCAATAGAGGGGCTAGGTTCCACCAATGTTTGACCGTGCCAGCTCCCTGTAAATACATGGCTTGATTAAACACTAGGTTGGGGATAAGAAAGGAGAGCATGATTTCAGCATGCTACACGTGTCTCCTATCGTGATGTGATAGGCCTGACAAGTAGCACGAGCGCTACAAACATCAGAGCGGACAAATGAGAGAGCTACCAGATAGTGGGTTTCGGCGAAATCCATTATCATAAACCACTGCCTCTGTCCTTAGGGCAGTGTCCTTATGAAGCAGGGGCCAAAACAGGGGAGTGGAGGTCCGTAGACTAAAATCTCGTTCTGGATCCATACACTATGTTTCGGCTGTACCCTGTGCACACAATGAATCGCTCACAAGCATAAAAAATTGTCTATGATTGTATGTTGAGCCCTAAAGCTATAATGATTGGTGTCAAGCGTCTATTCAAGACATTACTAAGGCTGGAGTACAGTAGGGAAAGAGGAATTTTCGGTGGAGCGGTGATTAGCCCAGAGATTGAAAAGAACACCGCATGCGCTCTCACAACTTGTGAGTCACAGTTCCACGAGCAGATTCTTGGCCCCATGCAGTGACAGAATGAACGGCGTACATACCGTACTCATGGTGACTGCATACATCCTCATGATGACAGCATACATGCTCTTGATGACTGCGTACATCCTCATGATGACTGCGTACATCCTCATGATGACTGCATACATGCTCATGATGACTGCGTACATTCTCATGATGACTGCATACATGCTCGTGATGACTGCATACATACTCATGGTGACTGCATACATACTCATGGTGACTGCATACATGCTCATGATGACTGCATACATGCTCATGATGACTGCATGCATGCTCATGATGTCTGCATACATGCTCATGATGACTGCATGCATGCTCATGATGTCTGCATACATGCTCATCAGTGCGGGTAGGGTGGAGATCTAATCAGGAATGGCGCCAGGGAAGTTGTTATTGTGCAGGTCGCTGCACGGCAGAGCACAGGATAGAGACAGTTTCTTTTCAGTCGGCTAAAAAGCACAGAGCTTGTAGTCGACTCTAAGGCAGAGCAGGGGAACAGAGGCAGTTGCATCGATCCATTTTAATCAATCTGACTTCTTTCAAGATTAGCTCGAGAAACATCCACACGGGCGCGTAAGTAATATTGTTGAGGGCTGCAGCGTCACTTTATCAGACTCAAGGGGGCATTGCAACATCGTTATCTTGACAGGAGCGGAGCTTCACTGCCTTGCATGCAGCAAGGCGAGGAGGACAGTCAGAGCATGGCATGGAAAAGGGAGAGCCGCATGGCGCTATGAGTGAACAAATAACACGTGCAGATGCAACAGCAGGGTGGGCGAGGCAATGGGGTGGCTGACAGGATATCGAGGGTGGAGATGGTGCTGAGGGCAGACTGCTGTCCACAGTGAACCCGTTGACCGAAAGGCTCCTGCACATGGTTACAGGGAATGGAATGGACCACTGGCGATGCGTTATGTGCCCCACTGAGTGCTACGGACAACGAGATACACATGCATGGGATAGCCTTGGTAAAAGCAGAACCCAATATTCTTGCATGGTGCAGTGCTGAGTGCTAACGCACAAGAATGCATGCATGCACACAACGCCCTGTACATAGTCCGTGCTGCACCACAGCAATCCCCCTCCCATTCGTCTTTCAATATCCATCTGTTAGAATGTTGCATATGCTAGTCAATACTACTGTAAGTGATACACCCAATGTGGTACACTTTGGCTCAAGTAGCCCCAACCGATTTTGGTTGAGTGCTTCCCAACATTTTTGGACCGTATTTGTTGGGGGATCCCAAATAATGACTGGGCCATCCAATCAATTATTGCCCCCCCCCCATCCCCCAATAATGTTGGCCAATCATTGCGTGGTCAACCTAATTGACCCACCAATGATGGTGTGGGCACTCATCCAATCTGCCCACCGTTTCCTTTCCTATGTTAACCTATCTCTCATTTATCACAATCATAACTTGAGACTCTTTCACTCTGCACACGCAGTGGCCCCATGCCAGTACACCCGCAACCACTAACCCTCTACCCTCTTCGACCCAGTGACACCCCTCAGCAATTGAGCCTGCCCAGATCTCTCAGTGCAGTGGATATATTACAGTGTGGCGAGTTGGTTGAGGTGCGACAGATAAGGGACTCAGGCACGGATCAGCTCAGCCAGTTCTGCGCAGATCACTCACATCAGGTTGGTCAACCAGCTGATCAACTCAGCCGGTTCCTCCAAAGGACAGATGGTCAAGAAGGGATCCGAGAAAGGGAGAGAGCACGGACTACCTGGCATGTGACGCAAACTCATGCAATGAAACAGGGACAGAGCCAAGGAGTTGTGGGATGGATTAGGTAGGAGGGGTAAGGGTGGTACTGACAGGTAGGTGACACTGAAGGAGGTTGCTCTAGTCATTTGGAGATGTTCAGATGATTCACTCTCAGCTTGCTGCATGTGTGGCGCACACATGGAGAAACATGGGGATGGATGGGGATACACGAAATGGGGTTGGATGGGATTGGACGTATAAGGTTGGGGCAAGGAAAATGACAGATTAGGAGAGGGAGAGTGAGGGGAGACGTGGAAGGACTACAGATGGGGTGTACTGAGGTGAGGAGAGGGATGCCTGGGACGTTGATGGTGCGTCCCATCTGCCGCACTGCACGCACGCACACATGACAAGACAGCATTCCACACGCTGCTTTCCCATCCGCCCTCGTCACACTCTTCCCTCTTATTTGTTCAGCACTCTCACTCTCACTAGTGCCTCCCACCCACACGCGCCCCTGGGGCATAGCCAGTACCTGCACACGTTGCTGGCACGCCCCTGGCAAGCGGGCCGAGAGTACTCAGAAGGCACTCACATGCGCTGGAGCAGCACTCACATGCGCTGGAGCAGCACTCACATGCGCTGGAGCAGCACTCACATGAGCTGGAGCAGCACTCACATGCGCTGGAGCAGCACTCACATGCGCTGGAGTAGCACTCACATGCGCTGGAGCAGCACTCACATGCGGTGGAGCAGCATTCACATGCGCTGGAGTAGCACTCACATGTGCTGGAGCAGCACTCACATGCGCTGGAGCAGCACTCACATGCGCTGGAGCAGCACTCACATGCACTGGAGCAGCACTCACATGCGCTGGAGCAGCACTCACATGCGCTGGAGCAGCACTCACATGCGCTGAAGCAGCATTCACATGCGCTGGAGTAGCACTCACATGCGCTGGATCAGCACTCACATGCGCTGGTTCCGCACTCACATGCGCTGGAGCAGCACTCACATGTGCTGGAGCAGCACTCACATGCGCTGGAGCAGCACTCACATGCGCTGGAGCAGCACTCACATGCGCTGGAGCAGCACTCACATGTGCTGGAGCAGCACTCACATGCGCTGGAGCAGCACTCACATGCGCTGGAGCAGCACTCACATGCGCTGGAGCAGCACTCACATGCGCTGGAGCAGCATTCACATGCGCTGGAGTAGCACTCACATGCGCTGGAGCAGCACTCACATGCGCTGGAGCAGCACTCACATGCGCTGGAGCAGCACTCACATGCCTCACGTACCAGGGAGACAACGTTGCCTTGCCATGAGCATTGCATGTGACGCCCTGCATGGTTGAGCAGTCACTGCTGCCCGACCACGCCTGCCAGCCGCCCCCAAGCTGCCCCCATGCCGCCAGCGCCTGCGGAACAGCTTGACTGCCAGCGAAGGCCTGAGAGGGTTGGACGCAGGGGGTGCAGCCGCGGGCTCACGGAGGTCAGGGGGCACGGTGGAGTGTGGGGGGAAGGAATCCACATGGGGAGGGGCATGGGGGCACGCAGGGACCGGAAGAGGCCCTCTTAAAAATATTAATAACGTTTGTGGAATGTCCAATAATCAGCAGTATGAAGTCAACATCAAACTCACTGAAGAGTACAATGCAATCAGATCTAGTCTCCAAAATCACTTTGCAAAAACTCATACCAAACGTCAGTCGAAGGTATTCAAGATGCAGTTTTGAACAGAGAAGCATTCGAGTACCATTTGAAAAGCATTCGACAAAGCATTTGGAAAACGACCTATACTTTCTCAAAAAAGTGTTTGAAACCCTACGTTTATAAATCATTTGAAAAGGCTCCAACGAGCCTCTTTTCATCGGCTTTCTGGACGCTGGATTTTTGTGATGGGGTTGTGTGACAGATGAGTGAGGGTTGTTGGGAGAGGGGATGAGAAGAGGGAGTGGAGGGAGGAAAGGGAGGGAAAGGAGGGAAGGAGGGGTGATAACAGGGTAGTAGCATAGGAAAGGGGGGCATGGAGAGGCAAAGAGGGGGCATGGAGAGGCAAAGAGGGGGCAGGGAGAGGCGGAACAAGGATGTTAAGGGTGAGTTGTGCGTTCAGGAGAGCGATTGACCGTTGCACGACATGCGAAACGGCTAGAGCGCTTCTGAGGAACGCGGTGAAAGAGAGTCACAGTGGCATTGGCGAATCTTGGCATGCCGCCGCCCCACCGCCCCATACCTTCCCATTCCGTTGCATCACCCCATACCACCCCATTCCCATACCACTCCATGCTGCCTCACCACCCGCTAGGGCGCACTCACAGCCTGCCGCCTGTATTTGCCACCCCGCCGCCAGCGTGCAGCGCGAGCAGAAGCAGGTGAGCAGCAGCAGTGGGAGCATGGCGGGGCAGGAGATGGGTCTGCGCTTGGTAAGAGCGGCAGGGGGGAACGATAGGGAAGGGGGAGGGGAGTTAATGAAACCGGGAGAGGGGAGGGGAAGGCAGAAGCGAGGCAGAGGAAGAGCGCTAGGATGCAGGAGAGAGCGAGCACCCCCACTCCCCATGACACCACCCCCATTCCCCCCCACCTCTTTTTCGTTTCCTTCCCCCCTCGTAGCACATACCTGTCAGGGCTTTATTCTTTGATTAGGTTGGCTTATGCGTTCTTACCTTGCTTCTTTACCATCGACTTTGCTGTACCACTTGTATTCAATGACAAGGACAGTTCGACAGTTGAGGGGGTGTCCATAGGGGGGTTGACTCAGTCGCACTGAGCGACGATACACTGCGCAACAATACACTGCGCAATGATACACTGCGCAACGATACACTGCGCAACAATACACTGCGCAACGATACACTGTGCAACGATACACAGCGCAACGATACACAGCGCAACGATACACAGCGCAACGATACACAGCGCAACGATACACAGCGCAACGATACACGGCGCGAAGATGCACAAAGCAACGATGCGCTCCCCAAGCGACAAGGTACAAGCACATACGCGGCACGTCCGTAAAGGCAGCCTCACGGCACTTAGCTCTCCCACCGACGCAGCCCCCCTAGGCATCGCGTGCTGTCAGGTCCGCAGTGCGCCTTGCGTGGGGGAATGAGCTCTCTCGCGCTCGCTGTCATGCCACTGGGAACGCCCGCCCACCTCAGCTTCAGCTACGCCGCTACGCGTGAAACGCCGCTGCGTGCTCGCCGTACCAACTGCCACCACACCAGGACATGGCAAGCACGCAGCCGAGCCGCGCTACTACGATCATCCGCTTTTGCGTCCAGGAGCCAAACTAAACCACGGGTTTGGCCCCGCCATATGCCACGCCATCAGGTCTCGGTGACTCAAGGAGCCTACAGCCACCTGACCGCGTGAAGCCACGGCCCCCAGTCGCGCCTTAGCACTAGACGCGCGCGCGGCCTGTAATGCTAGTAACACCGCTCGTACTTCTAGGCGAAAGCGCGGAGAGCATGCAGGGAGCGCATTCTCAAGAAAATGCAAGCGGTGCAAGTGCGACTCACCGTCGCCTGAGCGGATGGCGGCGCGACATGGTGAAACGGGGGCGTGGCTTTCGGAATGAGCGTGACATATCGAAATGGCCGTGACAACTCGAAAATGGTGGCGAGACAAGGCGAACGACAGCAAGATGATGGCGACACATCACCACATTCAGCCAGGCAACATGAAAGCAATAACGGACCTTGGGAGGGGTCAATAGTCACACTGCGGACTGCATGGAGAGCATAAGCGCGCCGAGCCTACAGCTCAAAGCACCCATCACGACGACCGAACCTGGCAGAACCGACAGCGAAGCACAGCGACCAATTCGTAGGCGCCAAAAAAATGGACAAAACGCACAGCAGAGCCTAGAAGCCTCGAACGCGAAAAGATCGGACGTCAGCGAATGGATTCTAGTAAGCTTTCTGATTGAGCGTCGTTCTGCCTCGTGGAAGCAAACATTATAGGGTTACTGAGTATGTTCATGTCGCTGCCGCATTGTGCGACTTACCGAAGATTACGAGGTTCCGATTCGCGAAAAACTAGCAGCTACTCCGGCTTTGCCGTGCCGAAGCAAAATGTGTACGTCTGTCACGCCAAGCTTGGCTGGCATTTTGGTTCCTGGGAAGGCGTTTGGTTTGGTATGCGTAAACTTCGGTCTGTGCGTTCGGTCTGATTTTGGTTTGGTGGCGTCATTTTAGGTATCGGACGAAGCCCCGAACATGACGGGGATCAGGCTCGGCCGAGTTGACGAATCCGAAGCTGAGTCGAGTCGATTCCGAACCTTTCGTTTTCGCCGTTGCCCAAACCTCGCCACCACGAATCTCGCTAAGCTAGGTTGTGAACGTGTACTGTAAAAGGGGCTTTTGAATCACACATTTCGTCATATCAATCTCTGTTCTGTAATCATCACAGCACTCCAACCCTATTTTTGAACCTTCCGTGCATAGCTTCTTCTCAGTTCACGAGTCCACGCCCTCAAGCATGAAAAATCCATGGCGGTTTCTACGAGCTGTCTATGGAACCGTACCCACTTTTCCGTCCGCTCCATCGTCGCGTTGGCGGAATCATCGCCAGCGTCTTCGTCGACGTCAACTCAATCCACTATTAGTCCCATCAATAGCCCCTGCAGCCACAAACAGACATTATTTCAAGTAGCAGCTACAGCAACGACACGTCCTCCTGCCCGTGTCGCCAGCCGCTGCTAGGTTGCGGCATTATCAGACTCGAGTCCATTCGAGACAACTATCACTCTCCCCACATCGCGCACTCCCGCCTTGCTCGGCGCGCAGCTTCCGCCGCTGCTGCTGCGAATGCTGCTGCTCGCTCTCGCCTCGCGCCGCGACGGCGCGCAGCTGCTGCTGTTGCTGCGGCTGGTGATGCTAGTGCGACGCCGCACAAGTGATGCAGCCTTCCTTCGGCGGTCCCTGTTGCCTGCTCAGGCAAATCGCGACACCCATTCGCGGGATTTCTGATATAGGATGGCGACTTGGCCGCATGCACAGGCGGTATGCACCGAGGCCGCCTCGACCTGTTCAGGCTTTTTTGTTGGGGCGTCGAAGATGCGGTGGATTTCGTTGGAGGGGTTGGAAGGACGGAGAATTGCCGATGGTAAGCTGCGCTTTCTGTGTTTCACTGAGCATTCAACGCATGGCGTCACAGCAGCAAGACGCTTAGTCCGGTGCTTAGATTAGAGCTATTTACTACTGACGTGACAGATATGGTTAATGGGACATTTTATGATGCATAAAGTAAAAGGCGAAGGGATGATGGTGCGGGGAAGATTGGACGGATAAAGGAGATTCAGTTGTCGCATGCCACGTGGCACAGCTTGTTGAGGCGTCATTGTGCCATCCACCTTTTGCAACAGTTACTGCCGCTGCTATTGGTTTCCTGACCTCCCCCTGTCCCTATTTACTGCTCCATCTTCTCTCTCCCATTCTGCCTCTTCCCCCTTCCCCCACGTCACCCTCCAACCCCCCCCCCCCCCCCCCCCCCTTTTTCCGCTCATGTTGTCCTCAATCCCCGCGCCTCTGCTCCCACCTCCCCACAGGTCTATATAGTTGAGGTCGAAAGCACACAATGAGAAGTGAAGTAAGATCCAGGTCCCGAGCTTCGCATGGTTGCTCACACGTGCCACTTCGGCATATCTACTGCTCTTGTGGCTTCGGATGGATGACGAAGGTGAGAGTTGGTCATGGGTGGGTATGTATGTGAGAGTCGGTGAGCGGAATCTGTGGGTTAGGGGCGTGTGGGAGGTTCACTCGAGAGATCAGTGAAGGGAGGTGGAAGGGGAGTGAAGGCGGGGTGAAGGGGAGGAGGATGGCATCACAAAAATCATATGACCAGAAACCTATTGTAAAAAGTTGTGGTGAAGTATTTTCAAATGCTTTTAAAACGTAGGGGCCAAAACGCTTTTCGGTGAAAGTATAAACATTTTTTCGAATGCTTTGTCGAATGCTTTGCAGGTGATGACATGTTTGTATTACCTTCAGATTAGGGTCTGTCTGAGTTTCTTCGGAGATGTATAAGACTTCGTTCGGAGAGTTCAGGGAGATTACTTTCCACTCATATACTCTTTAGCAGAGCTTAGGACCAAAGTTCAAGAAGATTGTATATGAACCTTTATCAAGTGATTCTCGTTGTTTGATGGAAGGTCTATTAGCCATTCTTAGGTGTACACGCACATCATGAATGCATTGCTCAATGATTATTAATCTCATTACAGAGTTGGCTTGGCACACAAAACAGCTGCCTAAACACGCGTTGCGTAGTCCTGCTAGGGTGGATTAATCTGCACCATCCTCCTACCTACTTCGCAAGCCATCATCGGATGCAGCCCCGCCCCATCTCTCCAGCTCTTGGCCTAGAGAGTTCTTGACTACAGATACTGCTCCATCTAATGCTAACCTGCACGGCTACACACTTCCTGTCTCCTCTCTTGCTTATACTCCTGTCCCCTTGCTGTCTCCACGCTGCTGCCCCCTATGCGGTCTCCTCTCATGCCTGCTCCTGCTGCTCCACATTGGGCCTCTCCTGGAACTCCCCTCTTACCTCCCGGCCTCCCCCCCCTGATGCTACTCATGCTGCCTCCACTGCTCCTCCACTACTGCCTCACATGCTGCCTCCACTGCTCCTCCGCCACCCAGGCAACCTGCAAAACGGTCGCATATTAAATATGCACTCCTCCCCTACTGCCACGGGATGTTGCCTCCCCCCTGCTGCCATTCAATGTTGCCTCCCAAGCTGCCTCCCTTTGTTGTCTCCCCTGCTGCCATTCTAGTTGCCTCCCATGCTGCCTCTCTCTGTTGCCTACCCTGCTGCTGTTCAATGTTGCCTCCCCTACCGCCTCCCTTTGTTGCCTCCCCTGCCCCTTTGTTGCCTCCCCTGCTGCCATTCTATGTTGCCTCCCATGCTGCCTCTCTCTGTTGTCTCGCCTGCTGCCATTCTATGTTGCCTCCCCTACTCCCTCTGTCTGTTGCCTACCCTGCTGCTATTTAATGTTGCCTCCCCTG